GGACATGAGACAAGAGGTCTCCTTCAACTCCAAGTATCTTCTGGGCATGGCTTTTCTGGTTGTGTGTTGGTATTTGCTAAAGGCTTGCAGATCATCTTAACTAACTGACACCAAGTTATACTTGCTAATCAAATGAGGAAAGTTATCCATTTGTACCAGAGCCAGATCACTAATGAGGCTGTATTGCAGTCATGGCACGGACACTATTTTTAGAGTCTTTATAGAAAAAGAAGAGATTACCTGCCTGGACTGAGTTACCTCGGCAACCATCTCCCGTGACTAAGAAAGCCTAAAGAGCATATTGATAATCTATCATGATGTCGAGAGAGTGCAGGTTATCAGAGAGCAACAGCAGGAAAGATTTCAAAGGTCTCACTGGGAAAATAATATCTGCTTTCATCTCCCAAAAAAAAAAAAAAAAAAGCCTGTCACTTGAATTTAAAAAAAAAAAAAAACACCATAGGAGGAGGGGTGGCAGAGGTACACAATGTGCACACTCACAGATTTATTGTTCCTGTGGCAGCTTTATTTCAGGATAAAAGCTTTTTTTTTTTTGGGTGCTGCTGTTTTGTTTTATGAGTGATGACAGTATCTAATACACAGCAAAGGAAAGGAAGAAAAACCTAGATGAAAATAAATAAATAAATTAGAGCTCTGTCACATAACCAATGGGACAGAAATGAAAGGGAGAGGGGGGCAGAGGAGAAAATTATAAAATCAAATAAAATCAAATGCTTCTTCATGAATGCTAAGGTCTTTCAGCAGCCTGAGACTGGCAGTACCTTATGTTTTTGCTGTGTGGTAAGAATGGGAATTTTGCAGCCTTCTTTTTAATTCTGCTATGCTTCAGCATTTTTTGTGGGAAGTCTTGCACACACCGTGCCAGTTCCTTCAGTTTCCTGAGTGATGTTGCTCTGAAATTGCAGTGTAAGAATGGTGATTTCCAGGGGAGTCATCATGGTTCAAGCCTCCCAAACATCCAGGTAATACATAGCAGAGTGTATATGAAGAGACAGTACATAGTGTGCACAAACAAATAGTGCATGAGACTTGTCAGTCCTGACATGTTCTGTCCCCTGCAAAACATGAAGGAGTGAGTCAAGGCAAGTTTTCAAGTGGCCTTAGCCCCTCTCTAGGTAATGAGATGCCTTTTCCTTCTGCTTCTTGCAGGCACTAATACTGTAGGAACACGAAAGTTAGCTTATTGACACTTGGTTCTTTACAACCAGGCAGTAGGCTGCAGCACTGTTGTCTGAACTGTGGACTAGACTGCCTACAGTGTTCTGCCTATTGGTCTTGGTGTGTGGCCTTTAGCTCCCAATTACGCTGAAATTCTCTCTAGATACAGCTTTGAAAGTATGATTTTCAAAGGAGAACAAACATGTATTGCATGATCTCAGGAAAAAAAACCTTAAGTAGAGTGTCAGCATTCCTAAATGTTACCTCACTGGACTCTCTGGATAGGTGGTTATTTAATCCTGCTCCCTACTTAAAATCTCAAATTTTCTGTTTCCATCTATTCTCTCTCTTTACTTGCCTGGTAGAGGCTGAGTAAATTGTGACACAAATCACAAGAGAAAACATTTGAATGCTTTCATTTCAGAAGAATATTTATCTGTAGCACAAAATGACGACAGAAAGACATTGGCATCATTGCTGTTACTGACAATCTGTATTCAGAAAAGCTTAATTTTATACTTTTCTAAATGGGGTCAGGACTAAACTGCATTGGCACAGCTGTGTGAAATTAGCCTATGCAAGTTATGCCTGGCTCTTGCCAACAGGATTCATCTTTGGCTTTCCAGAGAGCTGAGATCGACTAGGAGAAGAAGAATTTCAAATGTGTTGAGTTTTTGCTGTATGTCTTTTATGATGAACTGTGCATGGCTTTAGTACTTTTTTGCAAGAACCTGGCAGTTCATATGGTTGTGCAGAGCCCTGGTCTATCTATTCAAGCGCTTTCCCTTCAGCAGAGTCAGTACCAGCTTTCTCAGAAGATAAAAAAGAAACCTGCAGTAAGCAGAGGATCATTTAAATAATCTGCTACCAAAGTTTGTATCCCTGTCTCAATTAGAGTTACATCCCAAAACACAATTGCTTGCATAGTTTCTAAAAAAGGTCTTGGCTTATGTGATAGGCTCTAGGACAGAGGGAACAAGTTCTACACCATGTAAGTACTATTCTGCTTTTCTTTCCCTTGGCAGATGGAACTCCCAAAATAATTTCTGCCTTCAGTGAGAAAGTGGTGAGTCCAGGAGAGCCAGTCTCCCTTATGTGCAATGTGAAGGGGACTCCTCTGCCTACGATCATTTGGACGCTGGATGAAGATCCCATTGTTAAAGACGGCAGTCACCGTATCAGCCAGATTATCACTTCTGAAGGCAACGTGGTCAGTTACCTGAATATCTCTAACACCCAGGTCCGAGATGGAGGAGTTTATCGCTGTACTGCCAACAACTCTGCTGGAGTCATCCTGTACCAGGCTCGAATAAACGTAAGAGGTGCTTGTCAAATCAGCTCCTCAAAAAAACACACATAACTCATGGTAGTGGAGAAGATTGTTGCATGTGATGAAATGAGTCTTGGAATGCCAAAACCAACTTACTGTTTTTCCTCTCCTTTTCTTCCCCTCTCTCTCTTCCCCCTCCCCCTCTCCAGTCCCATCTAGAAAGTGTATGGTATGGTTAAATGTTGGAAGAACCCTTTGACTTGTTTTCTAGTCTATCTTTCTTATACTCATCTCTATTATTTCATAGGTTTTTTTATTTTAGTCCTGCTGTGCATGTTTTGGGTGTTTTTTTTTTCCTTTCCTCCTTTACTTGTCCAACATTCATTGTAATTATTCATGTCTACAGTACTATAGCTTATATTTCTAGCTCTACGTGGCATAATACCCATCCTCATGGTATTATATGTTATATATGTCAAGGAAAAAAAAGCCCTAATTTTGTCAGTGTTCTCCTGTGTAACAGTTTTGTATCAGTTTTAGAATTTCACATTAATTAATTCATCCTTAGCCTTTTAATTTGTAATGCAGTGAAGATTTTATCAGGCAAGTGTTGGATAATGAAAACATATTCCCCCACATAATTAGTATGTATGCTGCAGGGTGAGGAAAAACTAGAGCATATAAAGATTAAGAAAACTGCCTAAGTAGCTTTTAAAAGCAAAAACTGTCAAATGCTAAGAAGTCTTGTGCAAGCCACATCTGTAATTGTTGTTAACATTTGTAAATTCAGAAAAATCGTATGCATGTTTCCTCAACCAAATTTGCTTTTCAATTATTTTCAAGAGTTTCCTTTTACCTTCCCAGGGCCAGCAAGCATTCGACCAATGAAGAACATCACAGCGATAGCTGGACGGGACACCTACATCCACTGTCGCGTGATTGGCTACCCGTATTACTCCATCAAGTGGTACAAGAACTCTAACCTGCTACCATTTAACCATCGCCAAGTGGCATTCGAGAACAACGGGACACTGAAGCTTTCAGATGTGCAGAAGGAAGTAGATGAGGGCGAATACACGTGCAATGTCCTTGTTCAACCCCAGTTGTCCACCAGTCAGAGTGTGCACGTGACAGTAAAAGGTGAGGTCAGCTTGGGAAACTAGAGCTAAGATAATGGCTGTGTCTTTTATAGAAACAGAATTGCACATGTGGGATTTTGCTGGCACTTAGATAATGAGCGCTTAAGAAGGTTAATCCAGCTTTGTGTTTATTTTTAATGATGACATAGGTGCTAATCATTCACTGTGTCTTGTTCTTTCTTGACTTTTAACCTCCTTCATTCAAGTAGCAAAGAGTTGCTTTCTAAGTGGAAGCCTTGCAGAAGCAAGCTTTCTATGAGCATGTTTTGCTACAACTAAGGCAGTAGATTAATGTTTTGTCACCTGAGTTTCACTGATGACTGTTTCTCTTCTGGATGACAAAGTTCATATTTTCATTAGCTATTTCAGTGACTTTCCAGCTTTTAAGATGGGAATTTCAGTGTATGTATTTCTGCCAATAAGCAAAGACAGGAACTAAAAGCATTAATCTTGCTTTCCTCTTAAGTGTGCTGTTCTGAGTGGTTTTTATGCTTAGAAAGGTAGCACTGGAAATAAATGTGACTTGAAATTCTAATGGGATGCTTAAAATCTATTCAATTAGTCCCAAACAAGCATGTTCAGATGGATCTGAAAGACTTCAGCAGTAGATGAGAATAGGAATCTCTTAGCATTGTGTTCTGACTATTCTGTTATTGCAATGTTCAGACCTATTCACAAAGACACAAAGGACAGAAAACCTGATTGCAGTAGCACCTCGTTTTGAGCAATGGGGCCACTAAAGAGTGCGCTTCATGTGAACCTGTAGGAAGAATTGAGGTGTAATTTCACAGTTCATGAGGTTCTTAGAAACCTTTCCTGACCTTTCTTTAGGGGGAAGAAGAGAGAAAGGAAGGAAGGTTGAATTCTCTATCTGTTCTCAGATAAGCTACAGAGCAGAACACTAAGGCAAAATGACTTTGTTATAGACACCTGATCTTTTAACTCCTTTCTGTTCTGTTTGTTTAGTCCTTTCTTGTTTTCAGTCTGGAGTGATGTAATTGCTAACTATTTCAAGAGGTTAGGGCATTAGCTTTAAGCCACTAGCAATTTGGGCTATAAAAGATATGACATCTCATACACCTGAGACCATCAGGGGCACTTGTTACACACTGAGGTATAAAAAAAAAAAATCTAATTTCACCATTTCTTTTCATGTATGTGGTATGTTGCTTGATATTAGAATAATATCTCGGATCTATTGATGCAGTTTAGGAACTAAATGCCAAATTAGTAACTATGTTGCTGCTGCACTAAGAGTTCACCATGGTAAATCTGATGGGCAATACTGCCTCTTAAATAATACTGTTTTTCAAGTGACTATCAGAATGAATGTAGCCACACAAAAAAATATCCAACAGTCTATTCTTACAGCTTGGATATTTAGATCATGCTAGCTGGTACCTCAGGTGCAGTACTGTTTTTTCTTCCATTAGGTTCATTTCAAACTTGACAATTCCTCCCAGAAAGCAGATTGCTAGCTCTATCAGTTTTGATTGAACTGTGGATTTTATCAGTGGTTTGACTTTCTTGAAGGCATTCTGCTGCATTTCTGGGCATACAGCTGCCAGGGCTGGCTGGCTGGGCAGAAATCTCAAGCAATGACAGCACATACTCTGAGTAACTTGCATAAACATTTGGAACATTTGAAGAATACCTGGGCTTAGCTATGATACGGTCTCATCCTGCATATGCTGTGTAAAGCAGGTAGGTTGGAGCAGTGCACATTGCAGGGTCAGAAGTGATCCATGGTACATGTGTCAGTGTGGCTCCTACCTATTGATCTGGAGTTGCGAAAGTTGGGCTGCAAAGTGCCCTAGTGACTTCAGCATGCCCTGGCCTTGACAAGACATTGTTATTTAACAATAGGTTAACATCCTGTCCTCACATGCTAAGCCTGAAATGTCAAAGGTGAGCTTTGTATGTCAGACCTGAACAATTCTCAAGGGTCTGCTGTTGTCGCTGGAGGTCAGCATTGCTGCAGTGGTTTTTTAGATGGCTATGTGTTCTTTTCTTCTGTTCCTATACAGTGACTTTATCAAACATATTGACAGAGAATCAAAAGTGTCCCATTGCTTCAAAATATTAATATCTTTGCTCTCTGTTTTCTAGGTTCCAGGGTTAATGTGATGAGTTTTCAGGCACTTATGTTTCATTCTGAGAAATATAATATGTGGCCAAACTTGCATAATAGAAGTTGGGATTACTCTGAAATATTACGTTATAAGGTGGGGGGGTAATATCAGTGCCTAAATCTCCTTATTTACAGTTCAGCTTCTCTTACCATCAGTATACTTACTACTTCTCCATAGAAACAGAGGGAGAATTATTGCCCAACTTCAGCACTGTGGGTCCTTCAGTTTGTTCTCATTTCTGCTACAAGCTTCCTAGGTGACCTCAAGTTAGTAATCTGAAGGGTGATTCAGAATAGGTGATACCTAATGGGCTGTTGCATGGTATTTTGTTTCCTCCATGTTCTGTTCTAAAGACATAATTACCAATTTCCTCATGAGCTTTTAGGGGAGGATAATTTCTGTGTTATCAAGGTGTTTTGGAAACAATGTGTTCATTTTCAAAACCCACCTGGATGATCAGGAGCACTTTGCCAAATGGCAACTGAGGCATAGACTGAACTTAAAGGTATCCACTAATTTTTATATGTTCAATTTGATTTATACATTGAAAGCTCTTCTCCCACTGAAATGAAGTTGCTTTGAGAGTTCTTTTTTCCTTCTTCATATCAGTCACGTCACCCAGTTTAGCAACCCCTGGGAAAGACAGATTTAAGTCACTTAATTAGCATTATCTGAGAGATCTGTGGCAAAGGTGAATACAGAATTTGGCTCTACAAGGCAGCATTTATCTGCATTACACATACAACTGGCCTTTCTTGACTGCAGTTCTCTGCCACATTTACTGCCCACTTTCCAAACTCTCCAGTACATGAAGTGTCCTCATTCTGTCTTGAATGAGGACTTGCTAAAAGTTGCATCCAAATAAAGATATGCAACAGCATGAGGATGTAATTAAATACAAGAGGGCTGCCCATTCTGTAGAGTATTTTGAGATTTACAAACATCAAGATGAAAACATAATCTTCAGATCATTCTTTGGAAATAACTGTAAGGTCTCAGATAGTAGAACATGAAGTTTCTTGACAATAATTTCAAAATGAAATTCTGGCTACCAGAGAACCCAAGAGTGGGGCTTATAGAGCCTTGCTGTGCAGCCTTCCACCTGGCAGGCTGTCAGGAAGCCAAAAACTTGGGAGCTGGGCACTTATGTGCTGTTTGACCTTAGGCCAGCTACTTTTTCGCACTGTTGATCAGAAGAGATGATTAGATACCACATGAAATCGGTTGTCCCATTTTTTAAGAATAACTGGTGCCCTTGTCTGCAGAGCCATCTATCCTAGAGGTCTGCTGACTCAAAATAACTGTCCAACAGAGATGTGGCAAGGCACCCCCTAACTATCCCTTGCCTGTCCCTTGTCTCTGACCCAAAATCTGGATCTGGGAAGCTAGCAGTCCCATAAGCTGGCTTCTGGGAGCTGAGTGGATAAGCTGGCAGGCAAGTATGCAGGTTTCTGCTTGGCAGACATAGCCCTATTGGAACTGTGCCTGAGTCCTAACAGAGCTTTTTGGAAATCAAGCCATCTTGGCATTATTTTTTTATGTTTGGACAAATGAATTGGCCGGTTCTGAAAAAAATCCAGGAAAAATACCCACCCTGTAATGCATACATAACAGGGGGGATACTACTACTGTACTTACATACTTAATTTCTGATATTTTATACCTGTAGATGGCTTGACTTTGCAAGTCATAATAATACCCTTCCAACATGTTTTGCTTTGGCCTGTGGTAAACACAGCTTTCCTTTTCGCCTTTTTGTAAAGCAAACGGAACCCTCTTTCCTCCCTCTCCTGCAAAGTGGAAACAGTAGTTACTGACATCCTCAGAAGTAATCATCAAGATACCATTGCTAAGAATACTGCATAGGTTCTTGTCAAGAACAGAATTTTTAGCTGCACTATTTTCTTACTCGGCACTAGGCCCAGCTGTAGTGGTTTGCCAGTGAGGATCACACACGCCTGTCAGTGACAGAGGACTACTGAAGTCAGACATCCTAAGCAGAGTACTCTGTAGAAGATGTAGGCTTCTGTGTTCATTCCTCCAAGTATGACCTGTCCTTAGCCTTCAGCTCATCCTTGCCCAAATCCTGGCTTTTCTGCCTGGATGCTAAAACCAGTCTGTCTGCCACATCTTTCCCATTTCAATCCTAATTTTCTTGGTGCCTAGTTCACATGACTCAAAATGAGTCTTCTCTTTCTGTCACGGTTTAATCACTAAAACCAGCACACTTCCAGAACTCCCAACCTTCCTTCCAGCCTCCAGTTACAGTCCTCTCTTTCTACCAGTCTTCTCTTTCCCCATCTCTACTGGGTTTCAATTTGTGTCCCCTTCATGTGGGTCTTTGTTCACTGTCAGTGCTGTACTTCACCCCATGCTTCCTTGTCCCATTCTCTCATCCCCAGCCAGTTTCCTACCTCCACTTTACCAACCCCCATCACCTCTGCAAGCCTGCTCCCAAGTTCTGACTTCCTCCCACTGCCCCTAAACCCAATTCTGTAATTGCCTTTTCTTATTCTCAACAACATTTTGAGCTTCTGCTCCATCGATTGCTGCTGCTGTCTGCATGCCCTGCAATGCAGTCTGGTTCCCCACTCTGGTCCCTGGGCCTTCACATCTCTTTTCTTACTCTCTGCACTGAAATAACTTTTTTCATACCTCCTGGGCCAGCATGGGCAGCTGTGTGAGCACTAGAGAGACAAATCTGCTTTGATTTATGACATCTCACCAGACTACACCTGCCCTGCGTGCCTGGAACTGACTCAGACGCTGAAGGTAGTGCTAGGATGTATTCAGTGCTGCTTGAACCCTGGGAGGTCTTAGCTGTTAGTCACTGAAAAATGTCTTCTCAGGATGTGATAATTGTTGGACG